CCACGCTACGACGCGTTCCTAAAAAAAAAACCTGGCCGATCGGTGGACCCATTTCCAGTCCGATTCCCATTCCCATTCCTTTGGGCCCAGATCTCGGCTCATTACGATCTTCATCATCGCCATCGTTGTTGGTCATCAGCATCGACAGATTGTGTCGGCTTCGCTTTGCATCTTTTGTTCATTTTAGTTTAAATATTGCCTACCTCCACTCATTCCCCGTCCATCCGTCTGTTTGTCCGCCGAAGGAGAAGTCGAGGCGAGCCGAGTCGATTCGAGTAGAGTAGTGGTATACTATAGAGTCGAAGTCCCAGTCCCAGCTGCCAATAGTGCATAGCATTTCATGCACTTTTCATCTTTTTCAATCAATGTGCCGTGTGCACTCCACTCCACTGCCACTTCGGCATCGAGAACTTGGCCAGGGAGTTGGCCCAAACTGGACAGCGGAGGCAGCCACCGAAGGAGCCGGCTTCCCTGCGATAAACAGAGTATTTTGCCTTTCGAGGGCGCTAGTTGGGGCATTCCTCTGCTCCTGGACTTTGCCACGGTGAAAATAAATGTTCACAAACTGTTTAACTAATAAAATACATTATTGTCAAGACTAGATTTTTTCTCAAAAAAAATTTGTAGCCTTATGCCAATTATATGTAGAAGAAAATAACTAAAGAAAATTAATTTCTTGCTGCTCAAAAGTTACTCTTTAATTTGTTTTTAAACTTTTTATTTTTATTTGTCTTACGTAATTAAAAAAAAAATTAAATACATGTTGTTATAAGCCACAAGGATAAGCATTAAATTATTCATGATATGATTTTAATCATTATTCAAATAAATATTCATTTTTAATCTGTAAAAATACAAAATTTATAAGATTATAAAATCATAAAACCTTTCTTTTCCTTTTATTTCCCCTCCTTGTTTCTTCCAGTGTCCGCATTATTTCTCATTTAACCCGTGTGTGTTTTGTTTGGCTCCCTTTCCTACCGTTTATTTTAGTTGCTCAATATTTTTGTTGAATGTTTGAAGCGCGCTTAAATTAATCTCGAAGTTAATTGCTTTTCATATTTTGTTTTTGCCTTGCATGCCACTTTAGTCGCTTCCCTTTAGTGGTTATAAATATCATTGGACTATTTTTAGTTGCAGTTAGTTAAAAGCTGTCATTGTTGAGAGGGCCGCCTGAGGGCTTTTAAAGTAGTTAGCAAACTGACTTTTGATTGCTTATTTAGGGCGGCTTAAAATGTGAAAAAAAACGTTCACTAAAATTAGTGAGTACTACTACTACTACTAATCACTAATTTTAGTGAACATTTTTTTTGTCTGATTTGCCGAACATAGATCCAAGAACAACAGTTAGATGGAGCATAACCAAAAGCGTTAAGTTTCCCCACCCAACAAGTGCTGTCTACTTTGGTCAATTTATGCACAAGTGTTTTGTGGTTCGGGCGGAAATGCTGTGCAAAATTTACTAGTCAGCCAAAACAAAAAAAAAAAAAAGGAAAAACTCAAGAGGAGAAACCCCCAGCCAATGGCTCTAAAAGTGAGGCAAGACCCAGTCCCAGTCCCAGTGCAAGTTGCCCAGTTCCCAGTTCAGAGCGGCGATGGCGATGGCGATCCGTCGATCGCGGCGCGCGCACGATAACAAGATTAGAAAATAAGATTTATCTCATAGATTGATAGATTCGATTACACGCAGCGTTGCGGCGACTGGGCGGGCGTGTAATTACAACAAAAGCAACAGTCGAACAGCGAGCAGAGCAGGCAAGAACAAAACGAGCCAAGCCACCAGGCCTCAAAACACAAAACACAAACCACGAGCATCGCACATTGGTACTCAGTGGAAAAAATCATCATAAAAAAATAAAAAAACTTAAATAAAAATATATTATACAGACATATATTTCTCACAAAGAGCTATCGTAAACCGACACACATATATGTGTATATATGTATTGTATACAACTTAAAGAGTAATTTAAAAAAATCTAACTGCTTGCATTACATATTAAAATACCATAAACAGAGCCAATAAAAAAAAACCACATGTTTATATTCAATTAAAAAGTAATAATATTAAATTTAATGCCAGTAGCTGCTGTTTAATACTGGAAAAATGGGATCAACTAGAGCTAAGATTTTATGTCTTCACAAGTTGGCAAGCTTTGTAATCTAATCAACATTACACAAAATTACCTAATTAATTTGATTTTATGTTTGACGTATTTAAGAACTTTAAGCTTATAAAAAATTGTGGCTTATAACATTTGAGCATAATATTACAATCAGCTGTTATAAATGACACCCAAAGCTAGAATTCAAGTTCTTTTTGACTTAGACCAAATATTTAATTAAAAAAATACCTACAATCAGTTAATTATATTTCATCATTCAAAATTAAGAGTGACAGACAATCAAGTCTTGTTTATTTTCTTTAAGAGCTAATCTTCTTAAAAATAACTTTTTAAAAACATAGAATATTTATAGCTATTACCATAAGCTTGAAGGCACAGTGTCAGTTTTAGCTGCGGGCAAACTCTTTTTCTCCCTGGCGTTTTAATGGACTTTTAACTGGTTTTGGAGCCTGCCTGAGTCAGAAGCCTGGCTTCGGATACAGCTGCACCTGCAACAACTGCGGGCTGGTTCGAGATCTGGGATCTGGGATCTCGGATCTCGCCTCTCGCCGGGCGTTGCATATTTACTAATTTAATAATTCAAAAGCATTTAAATTCCTAATCATATCCAGCAAAGCGGCCGCCGCCGCCTGCGTCTGGATAAGCCGGCCATTCGAGGCCCGGCTTTATCCTCCCATCCTGATCCCCATGCCCATCCCCATCCTCATCTCTATCCTGATCCCCATCCTCGAACCCAACCAGAAAAGCCATGCGAAATGATTCGCCTGGCGCAATTTGTGAAAATTTCTCACCATTTTCATGGCCAGGCGGTGGGGTGTGTTAGATTTCCACTTTACTGTCTATGCAATTTGTTGGCTAACTAGATGGCTATCTCTGCCCAGCTTGTGGTGGTTGTTCTTGGCCCGACTCCACTCGGAATCTCTGGCTCTTCTCGTGCTATTACTACTTGTATTTTATGCATCGCATGGCGTTAGTGTTTTGCGTCTTATTAGACTCTAATTGCACTGGTAGTTTGGCTGCACTTTGAGTTCGGATTGGGGAATGAATGAGAGATAAAATTTCGGTTATGGGGCCCTGATCATGGATCAAAAGGGTTTTTCCGTCCCGCGCTGGCAACCTTCAATTATGATCCAAACGAGCCGCTAGCTGGCCTAGTTGAAACCAATTAGCCGGAAATGCTTAGCAAGAAAAATATAGAATACCAAAGATATAATTCCAAATTTTGGTTAAGTAGTGTAATTTTATTATTAAACGTAAGAGATTTTTATATTTATTTTATTGATTGTTGATTGAAGTACAGAAAGAAAGCAACCATTTAAGTATTTTAGTTCTTTACAGAAGCTCGCTTAAGATTTTATTATGATCTGTCTCACATAAAGTTTGACTTCCAACTTAAGCACAGTCCTAAAACTAAATAATATTTCCATTCCTTCAAAATACGCAAATAAACTACTTAATTAAATTTTTTTTATTTATGTGCGGACATTATCGTAAAGTATTTTAATCCAGCTCCAACCCGTTGACCCACTGGATGCCTCCAATTGGCACAATCCACTTAACGCCACTCCAATTGGCTTCAGTCCAACCAGCGCCAGTTGGTCTGCCCCTGTCCATCAAGAAAACCACAAGGACGAACACATCCAATTCGAATTTCAGGCATTTTTGGTAGGTGGGTGCAGGTTTGCCTCATTTTTTTTGTTTGTGCTCTTTTTTTTTGTTTGGCGTCAGCAGTTCTACAGTATGAGGAAAATGTCTTACGCAATGCACTTGCCATCAAATAATTCTGCAAACAACGGGCGGCAATTTCGTCGACGCCAACAGCCCAGAACGACGTCATAGATATAAAGTCATAGTCGCGTTGTCATATTCAAAAGTCCTGACGGAGCCAAAAAGCTGGCGTCACTTTGCCCGTTTATGGATTATGAATTCAAAATATTTGAGGTCATCTTGAGGCGACGCCTCCTCCATCCTCTCCACCATTAAATATTCAATATTGCTCGCATCACTTTATTAGTTTTTGCCTAGGAGAGCACCCTCGATGGATTCACATTCTATTTTTAGTCAAGGCCTAAACGCAAGCCATCCATAATTGGGCCTATAATTTTGCGTGGGCCAGCTGAACTTGAAAGGGCTTTTAGTTTGTTAAGGAACAGAAGGTTAAGTAGGCAGCACATAGTTTGAACTAAAGTCTTTTGTGTATGCTCTCTTTTAAACAAAATTCTTTGCCGATGTTCCATGGATAACAAATTTTAAGCTAAACTGGAAAATTGATTTTATTAGGAAATTTTAAGAAACGTTGATCTCCTTAATTTAAGTCATTATTAATCAATTTTGTTCTTTGAAAGAAGGTATCAAAGAATTGATTTTTAATGTTATTAACTTATGTTGCACAGAAAAATAGCTTAAAAACTGCCAAAATATAAAAAAATGATTACCTACTTTGAAAATAATTTTTCACAGACCGAAAATGTAAGATAAATTTCTGTCAACATAAACAAAGCAAGAAATTGATTAAACTTTTTTATTATTTTATTTTCCAAGCCCCATCTAAACCATTTGGCCTTTTTTTAAAGAAAATCAGAACCCTTCGTGGTATAGAGTATAATCATGCCACAAGTTTGGTTTCACTTGACAGATTTATTTGGCCAGCCAGTGCCCGACCAAAAGTCTGGCTACTAAAAATACAACTTTTGTCCGGGACAAACTTATTTTTGTTCTGCCACATTCATTCAGAGAATTTCGGCAACTTTTTTTGTTGTGTTTGCACGACTATGAAAAGTTTTTGTGTAGGCGACGCGGTGTCTGGCAGTCGAAGGAATTGAGGTCGTTTGGGTGGGTGGATGGCGATAAGGATTGGGATGGTGACTCCGTATCCTACTCCCGCATGCCAGATGATGATGATGATGCAGCTGTTGTGGAGAAGTGGATAAAGCCTGAGGAGTCTGAGGGCTCTGTGTCACGTTTCAATAAACTTTGATTGCCGGCAATTATCTGGTCTCTGGCATCGGCGGGGGCCTCGAATTTGTCGCTTATCCCTTTGGCATTGTGTATTATTTATGAGTCCGTGATTTGGGTCCTGGATTCGCTTTCAATTACTGGTACCCGCAGCCAGCGTGCTGCCAAAAGTTTGCACATCAGCCTTTTGTCGGGATTTGGGACCCTAATTGAATGATTTCAAGAGGAAGGACATTTCGTTTGACACAAGTCCAAAGATTAAACGGCCAGAGGATTGAGATGGGCCTGGAATAAAAATACCTAACTATTCTTGGAATGCCATACCATATTGATTGGTATGTCAGTGACTGGCTTTATTGGGGGGCCAGAAAGTGCGATGATTTATTTGGTAATGGCATTATATCATTCAGATGTAACGAGTGCCCACTCGTGTGTTTGAACAGTGTTTGTGCTTCGCAGCTTTTAGTCGTTATGCCACAACTTTGTTAGCTCAAGGAATTACTCAATAGATTAGTTTGGCATTACATTACATTAACTGATATTTGCCGTTTGTTTTGAGGACCTAGCGAAAACAATGCGATTAGTTGTTAGCGCATATCGGACTCACTTATTAGGCAATAACATTTAACCGATTATTGCTATTACAACTTTATGGACGGTAATTTCGATGAAATAATATGGTAGTCGCTCAATAAACTTGAAATAATGTTACTATAGTATAAATAAACCTTTAACTATAAACTAATTGGAAAGATAGGTTACTAAAATTAAAACACATCGAAAAGTAATTAAAACACCTTGAAAAGTAATTCTTACACAAATTAAACAATTCCCTTTAAAAAATAAAAATCTCACACCAAACTTTTTCACTTAACATTCTTTAGAACTTTTACATTCTTAAGCCCTTTGAATTGTGATAAAAAGTTCACTGAACTTTCCCCAAAAACCGCAAAGCTATGTGCGTCCTTTGCACCTTATTTCAGCTCAACAAACACTCACATTTCTCACCCCATTTTCGCCTCGGAAAAGCGGAAATGCGACGCGGCAGACATGTCTGCTATTTTGTATGCAACAAAAAAAGGACAAAATAGTCAAAAACGGAAGCAAAAAGTTGATTAAAATTTCATGGCGACGCATTTGCCTCAGGAAAAACGAAGAAAAAGTCAAAGACGCTGCAAAAGTGTCGGCAAATGTGAAGGGAATACATTTTAGCGTGCAACAACTGTGGAGAAACTGTGAGGTGCATGTGGTGCAAAAAGCTGTTGAAACTTCATTGAATTATCGCACCCGGAGGAGCTGGCAAAAGTCACCGGAGGAGCTCACTCTCACCCGAAAGAAAGGGAAATTGCAATTCATTTGCCACTGGTGGTGGTGAAGTCATTTTCCAGCTTGGGGCTTTTCCCTACTTAAAGTGAAAATGGTAATGGCCGCGAAAAGAAACTCATTGTGTGTGAAAATTTAACAAGGGTGAATAAATTTCACTCAGCTTGCGCCATACGATTCAATTTGAAGCTGTCTTTAAATTGGGGGGGAAGTTTCTGCACTTGACAGTCATGTGTATGATTTGATAAACTTAAGTTTCTCTGGTATCTTATTCGCTTTTCATTGACTTATCTCAAATGCTGGTAAGAGGATTTTAAATTGCTGTTTAAGTTTGTCTTTCGAATATAGATCCAAGCCAATTTGCAGAAGTTTTGTGGCATACAAGTTGATAAATGATTTATCACACACCTTTTGCATAAAAGCCAAGTTTTCAATGGAGTTTGAGGTCCTTGGGGCTTCGACTCCACTTCATTGTTATCCTTCAGATAAAGAAAGTTGGGTGAGAAAGTTTTGATAACTTCAAGTTGGCAAAAGTGGAAAGTTTGGTTGCTCTGATAACAAAACAGAAGTTGCCTTAAACTCCCTTTTATTTTCACCTTTTTACCTCTACACTATTTCCACATGTCAAAATCACAAATGTCACTTAATCCTGGCGCAGTCAATAAGCCAGGACACCTTTTCACAAATAAAAAAAAAAGAAAAAACAAACACACAAAGCTGACATAAATTTCATATGAATTATGACACTTGGAACTATAATGCCAATGCCACACAGGGGATACACAAAAAAAAGAGAATATCCCTTTGTGACAAATGAAACCGAAACCCAAACATGGGCAACTGCAGCACGTGATTGTGATTTCCGAATAAGCAATTCCCTTAGAACCATATGACAGCTCCATAAATATGAAATATGCTGCCGGGCAAAAGTCACTTGCGATTGACAGACAAATTGAAAGTGCCATTGCGTTCGGCATTCGGCAATTGTCTAATTGCCAGTCATTTGTTTTCGTGCCAAATTGAAGCGCGCACTTGTCGATGGCCGAAACGTGTCAGCGCTAAGGATCCAATTAGTTGAATGGCCCAGGAAATCAATAAGCGTTTTGGCAGCAACGCGAGATACTTCTCCCAAGGGTGTGCTTCACTCTGTAAATACTCCGGCTTAACGTGAACGATTTCAACAATTCAACAAGTTAAGATACTCGGAGAGTTATTTTTAAAAACCGAAAGCTATATTTATACCCTCTTTCAATATATACTCACTGAAAATATTGTTAAAAATCAATTTTAAAAAATTTGTTTGAATTGTACAGACTTTTAATCTGCTTATGAAAATTATTTCCAAATTATTTACATATATAATGGATTTTTATTTAAATGACTCTTACCATTAAAGTTAACTTTTAAAGTTTCCTTAATAACCTTCTACTAAAAGTATATCAAAATAATGCTCCCACTGATCTTGTAATTGCCATTTTGAAAAACAAATTATATAAATAGCTTATCGAACCATTTATTTGATTGAAAATCACCATGAAACTTGGGAAAACATAGCCCGTGCCAGGAGTATAGCAACCCAGACATTTATTCGATGGGTACCCTGATCATCTCCCCTGGTTTTTCCTCCAGCCCCCATCTTAATTATCCATGGGCTTCAAGTGGTTCACAGTGCCACCGATAAGGCAGCGGACCCAGGTCCCAAAACAAAACCAGAGCCAGTTGTTGACTAAATGTTTTTGGCGTCCGTTAGTGCAAGATATGGAAGAAGAAGATGTTGGCCATAGAGATGACCACACTGAGGAAAAAATTGCATTTCAAACACATTAACTTGTAAAGCAAAGTACAATTAAATGAGGCGATTTACTTTTTAAAATTTTTCAACCCTGTTTGTGCATTTTTTCGGCATACAAATTAAATATATTTGTATTTTAAGCTAACATTACTAGGCATAATATGTATATGTCAAGTTTTCTATTACAATTTCTTTTAAAAATGATTATTAAATAAGTTTTATTTTATTTATATAATCATTGAGAAGTTCGATATTCTTTTAATATGTTTTGACACTTATTTCTACCATAAAATATTCTTTGAAAATGTATAATTTTTTTAAACATTTTTCGAGAAGTTATTTATTCTTTAAAATATTTATCAAGAAAGTATCCTGTTTTCAAGTTTATTAGTTAATTTTCAAAAGTGTGGTTTTAATAGACGGAAACCTATTTTGTATAAAACTAATATTTTCTCTGTACCGAGGCACATTTTCTCAGTCGATTGCCAGGTAATGCGTCTAAAATGAACTTCAAACGGCGCCTTGAGATAAAGAACATTTCCCCTTTCCCTATTTCCCTCTTTTTCCATCTCTCTCGGTTGCCTAAGATATGTAAATATAGTTCATTGATGATTTTAGTTGGAAATACGGGTCTTCGATGAGATTGGTTTATAGTTTTAGGGGTGAGTCACCAATGTTGAATCACTAAAATTACCGAGAAAAAAATTGAGCTAAAGGGCAGCTGCGTTGCAATTAAAAGCACCGCCCACGCCCCCTTGAAAAATGCATATCAATTTGGAAAGCGTGCTATTTTGGACCCGTGCCAAGGATACGTGGAATACAATATAACATATAGCACCAGCTGGTTTTTGCCGCAACAATGCCTCACAAATTAGAGCCAGAGACAAAGGCGGAGGAAAACTGCATTAAGGCGGTAAATTGCGGTGACCAAAGAGGGAAATGTCGGGAAAACTCGGGAGAAAGGTGAAAGTGTGCCAGGGTGCGTGTGCCATTCAGGTAAAAGTTGGCCCAAAAGGACGAACACAAACAGGCACACACACACAAGCTGCGGTCGACAATAAATTATGAGCCAAAAAATTTCATGCCAAATTATTGCAGACCATATGGAGGCGGAAAAGCCGTTTCGCTACGCCCCCAATTTCGGCTGCTATTTAAAATTGATTTAAATTCGCCTTGGCCTTAGCCTCTGAATGGCGAAATTATTTGCTAATGGGGGCCGGGCCATAAATCTCTGCCACCTTTTCCGCCGCCTCTATTTTCTGCACATTTTAGCCGGAATTTTCCAAGCTGCAACCAACAAGAGTTGCATACTTACGGGGCACTTTGCATGTACAGTTGTGATTTAGTGGCAATTTCCCAGTCTCAACCTTGGAAACGAGAATCTGCAAGTGCGCTAAATGGGTCTCATTAGAATTCTTTTTTCAAGTTGAGCTTAAGTTGAGGGTCAAAGAAAGTGAAATCAAATTTGGGCAAACTTTGCGTAGAATTTTCCAGAATATTTTAGTAATTTCATAGCCATTTCTAAACGGTTAAAATTCATAAAATATTGTATGAAATTATACATTTTTCACAAAGTCATAAAAATGATATTAAAATTACGTATATTCAAACTATTTTCCTTGTACTTCAATAAATTTAACGAGGGCCCTTATAAATCACATATTGATTTCTTTGTAACCATAAACAATTCAAATAAATTATTAAATGTTCTTGTATTCAAGCAAACCAAAACCATTTTCCCAGAAAAAATGTAAGTTGGCCGACTCATTAGTAAAACCAAAACAATAATTTTCTTGGTTTTTCCCTATTGGTATTTCCCATTGCCCTTAGCAACAATTGAAATTATGATTTAGGTAAGTGTTTTGATATACGGCCAGCAAACAAGTCACGAAATAAATAATATATAGAACGATTTGATTAATAGCCGGCCAAAGGAGTCCTTCACAAAGGGAAAAACGAGCCAAA